CGCTCTGGCCCCAATGACGTCTTTCGCTGCCCGCCATATTGTCCTCTTCCACGCCCTTCTATTTATAGCGCCCGCCCTTGTTCTCGCTCTTTGCAGAATCTCTCGCGCAATTGCACCCCCCCCCCGGGCTCCTCCAGGCTACCTACACACACGCCCTTCGCCCACTCGCTCAAACCAACCTTTCGCCCGCACTTTTCCCTTCCATCCTCCACCCATCCACCACCCAACCACCCAACGGCCTACCACACTCCTGCCCACCCAGCCACCCGAACCGACCATCCGTCCGCCCACTCAACCATCTATCCACCCACCGCCCGCTCATCCACCCTCGCCCTGACCTACTAAGCCGCTCTGCTTCTCACTGACCTACCCACCCGCCGAACCACCCATCTCCCACATTTTCATCTACCCTCACGCCCTTTCCACCACCTGTCCACCGCCCACCCGCCCACCAAACCCACCACACTCACCAACCCAAGCGCCCATCCGCCCACTCACTCGAACCAACCTTTCGCCTTCACTTTCCCTTCCACCCTCCCACCCACCCAATCCACCCACCCACCCACCCACCCACCCAACGACCTACCCACACGCCTGTCCACCCAGCCACGCGAACCGACCATCCGTCCGCCACTCAACCATTTATCCACCCATCCACTCGAACGCATGCATGCCTTCCGCCCTTTGGACATCACGCCCTCTCGGCACACTCGTTGGCGAGTTAAAGTTTGCTCCACCATCACAGGAAGATAACGTTCACCCACGCTCCTTCTGTGTCTTTTTTTTTACAGTTCAATTTCGTCTTCTGTCGTTTGCTAAATGTTGCCTTTTATGAACGTTTGGCTCGAGGTGTTTGTATTTCGGATTAAACCCATTTCTTCATTTACTCTCGCGCTTGGGCCAAAATTTATTGAAGCATTCCGACCCTCGTTCATTCTTCTCTGTATGCAAATCTCTGACGCGTCACTTGGGAAGAATTCTTCAAAAGGCGTTGAAAAAGTTGATAGAACCACGGGTGATGTCACATTTGCTGTAAAAGAGTAAAACGTATTGTTGGAAAATGGCAACATTGAGTGTTCCTGATGTATGTAGATTGCATCAAGAATTAGACTAACAAAAAGAAGACATGGTGTTATGTTATTATATTGTGAAATTAATGTCTCAAAATTTGACTGCTTTTTCTTTTATGGTAATTATGCAGATATATTCATGGGTTGGCATTTAAATAAAGAATTAAATGCGTCAGGCTTTAGTTATCATGTTCACAGGGTTTCAAATGAAGACATTAATTCAACACGTACATATTTAAACTAAAGCGTGTCGCTCTTATTATAATTATCTTAGCATCAAATATTGGCGATCTGTAGATCACAACAGAAATTCTGCATTTTGTAATGTACATAAACTAATAAGTTCCGGAAAGGTTCAAATTAAGAAGTACTGCCCAGGTTAGCCATACATAAATAAATGAAAATGAATTAATATGTATTTAAAACATGGCGAATCTGAAAATTTCAAATGGTGGGGGGACTGTGATTGAAGTCATGTGTTTCAGAAATATTGTAATACAAATTCTACAACTAAATGAAAATTTTGTTCAAGTAGTCCCGTACTTTGAAGTCAACCGTCCTGGCAAGTAATATCTCCAGAATACGTATAAATAAAATTTTCTATACTGCGATATTACAACGGAACAGAATTCAACATGCAAGCATTACAAGTAAACGTTAAAACGCTGGGAAATATCTGAGTAGATGAGGTCAATCGAATAGGCCTAGAGGTTTTGGAATGGATTTTTGTTGAATTTTTAGCATTATAAATGATTCTTTACGTCACAAGAAAGAGGTCTTAAAAGGATATTTTAATGCATAGATTATGTGTACTTGCCATTTACGGCTTGAGTTAATTGCGCCATCACACATACAGCCAATTACAGAAGAGAATCCTCGGTGGCGGCCAGCGCACTTAATCGTCTTTGATGGAACTACGGAGAAAGTTGGCCTGAGCAACTGAGAAAGACATAGATTAGTGTTGGAGCCTTCTGCGAGACGGCCGGTTGGTTTTGAAGATCGTGTTTTGCATGGAGCCCTGGAGTGCTCTCTGATGTCGCACCGGCGTTGGTCACAATCTCAGTATACAGGTGGTCTTCAGATGCTGTGTACATGGACGTGTTTCCTGCTTGTTGTAGGGCAAAGAGTCGTCATGATATGTAAACACTCACCAATTGACTGGCAAGTGTTTACGTATCACTGGCGGAGGCGGGGCGGGAGGAAGGGGAGGAGTGTGCCCCTCTGGTAGGAGATATCAAGTAGGCAAATAACCCAAGCCGTCGAGTAGGTCGGCGCTGCATCTCCGATTCGCGGGGTAACATCCACGCCTCCTCCTGAGAAAAAATATGCACTACACTTTCGAGATTTATGATCTAGCCGTTAATATGCCTGGAAATCACCATCAATCTTTAAAGTTTCAAAGTTCAAAATTTTGGTTTGCGATGTATTGTGGGCATCACCTCAGCCAAAAAAATTCGTTGATAAAATAACTATTAAATAATATGTATTCGTAATTTTATAAAAAGTATCCAAAAAGGCCAAAAAATGGGTGTTATGGGGTTTGTATACACTAAACCCCTTTTAAAAACGTTTTTTTTGGTGCTGATGTTATCATGCATTTAAAAGTAACTTTTTCACTAAGCCAATGACATTTATATGAGTATTACTTTATGATATATATATATATATATATATATATATTATAATATATTAATATATATAATATGTATATATATGTGTGTGTGTTGTGCGTGGTGTGTGTGTCCCATTTAACTTGACAATCGAAATAACTAAAAAAAATACGCGATGTTCGAAAAAATTGAGCTGAGATCAAATCTTAAACGTTTTAAAGGGGGAATCATTCTATGCTAAAATCCGCACCCTCCTGCCCCCTGCCAGTGGGCGGTGGGCCAACATTGAAATCTTAAATAGGAACACCCATTTTTTTATTTCAGATTTCGTATACTACGGACAAAAATACACAAGTTTTGTCTGGAACTTTTTTTCTGATTTTGTGATAGGTGGATATATATATATTAATATATATATATATTATATATATATATATATAATATATATATTATAATATATA